GGTGCCACGTTCTGTGGAGCCTGCAGAGAGTCGCTGAGCTGACATGATTGGTGCAAGATGTTGAACCAAGGCCTTGACTTTCTTTTACTTATTTATTTTTTTGAAAAGCCTCGTGCTGGGAGGGTTTCTGTTTGTCTCAGAGCCGAGACAAACCCCACGGAAGTTGTTTTGCCCAGCAAAAACACCTCCAGCACTGCATGTGGAAACCTGAGGGTGGGGGGGGTGGGACACAAAACCCAAAAACTGTGCCTTGGTGTAGGCTCTGAACATAATCCCAGTGCATGAATCTATACAATATTTGTATTGGTACAGACACTAGTTATTTAATATATGTTAAAGGGGAATGGGAATCTGGATTTCCCAGGCTGTGCCCCATTGCTGGAAATGAGGCCCAGGGGAGCTCCCCAAAGTGGGTGTTAATATATAAAACGAAGGATTGGGGGGGTTTTTTCCTTTTTTTTTTTTTTTTTTTTTTTTAATAATGATGCATAGCAATGTTTTTAGTTTAACTTTTTATATGAATGTAATTTAATTCATTTTTCTACTAACTCAATTATATTAAGTTTTATAGTTGGTTTCCATTCTTTGCAATTTTCCTACGTGTCCCCCACCCCAGTGCTTACCTTTCATAGGCAGATTTTTGTCAGCAAGTATTTTGGGTTTTCTAGTTACCATAAATAAGATTTACCTTATGTATAAAAAAGTTTACATGAGACTGTAAAATGTATAATATGTACATAATCTTCAGAATACAATTATTTTGGTAAATTGGCCTGTATTTTTAATGTCACGGTTGCAGTATTTAATTATTTGAGGCATAATAAAACTTGACTGCAGTCAATAAACTAGAACATAGTTACTGATCTTGCACAAGTGTGAGGTTTTGTGTTAGTTTTCCTAACGGTGTGTTTGTATTCCAGTTTAGTAGAGCAAGTAGGGACAGGCAGGGAAAGAGCTGGAGCTGTGAGCCACCCTGGTATTTTCAGGGAAATCATTTTTCAAAAATCCATTTTTGTTAATGGATACAGCAGTGCCTGTTCACTGCAGGCAATAGTTACTTGACTGAAGATCAACTTTCTGAGTGAGAGATGAGGCTCAAAGCCTGTGTGGCACCTCCACAATGCACCTTGGCCACCACTCCATCAGCTGTGGGGCTTTCCCACACTCCCCAGCCAGCTTTGCTCGCTGCCAGCAGCTCAGAGATGCAGGATTCAAACCCCCAGTTCCAATATTTTTGCAAATATTTGCTCAGCTGCCCTCTCTGGGCTCCCCCTGAAGTCATTCTGACCCCTGTGCCTGACAAGGGTCACTCAGTGCCAGACCCACTGGGTGCTTGAGCTGGTGGTGAGAAGGGGGACCTGCATGTCAGGTCCTCACTGCCCGAGGATCCCTGGAATTCAGGGAATGCCAAATGCTTTGCTAAATCAAGAAATTAATGAGCTTGTGTGACCTAAAAATAAAGTGGGGATGTCCCACAGCTCCAGCCCTGGCACGCAGAGGGCAGAGGGAAATGCTCTGTCTCAGTTTTCCAGCTCACAGAGTGTGACTCCCAGCATGACACTGTGGTTTAGGACTAATGAGAATCACACACCAACGGAGTGAGAGCTGGAATTCAGAGGGCAAAGTTACATCACTTTGGGATTTGGCAACGACAAGACAGCCGTGGGCACACCACGACCAGGGCTGCCATCCACTCATCAAAACACTGGAGAGAGTTCAGAAAACAGGGTGAGACCGATGGGAAAACTCAGCTCATGGAAAGGAAGTTCGTGCTCCAGACAGCTCAGGAAAGAAAGTTGGAGAGACTTGGCTGAGAACTCACAGAGGGAGCCACTCAGTGAGACAGAAGCCTCAGCCTCCAGTAAACACAAAACAAAACCCCTCAATGAAACTCAGGCCAGAAACACAGCACGTTTAGTAATTAAGTTAATTAGTCACTGCAGCAATTTATTTAGAGGCTGTGATGAATTTTTGATCATGAGACATCTTTGAAAAGTCTTTCTAGTTCAAGCCCAGCTTGGGCATCATGAGACAATCCTGCCTGTGGTAAATTGAAAGGTCAGTCAAGAGGACGATAAGGGGCATAAATACACAAAACAATGACACTCGAGGCAAAGAATAAACCCAGTGGAATTCCTTCTGCAGGTCAGGAAATCCTCCAGTAGATCAGATCCAGTGCTGGGGCTCCCAACTCACTCAGTGAAATGCTGTTCCTTTCGGTGTTATCTTTAAAAGCCAACAGCAAACTGGCCGTGGTTCAGAGCAGAGCCCACAGATGCACCGAGCACAGAGGAGATCCTGACAAGTTTTATCCACTTTTGCCGCAGGTTTTCCCGGCAAAGGAGCCTCGGGGCACTCCCTGCTCTAAACGACCTTCACTCGGCTACTCAAGTCTGAGCATGTAAAATGTGTTTACAGAGCACACGGAGCTTCTTCCTCTGCTCCAGCCAGAAAGAAAAGCAATTGTTACAGCCAGGATCTTTGCAGGGTGAGGGGAACAAAGAAATGTGCATTGTTACAGCCAGGATCTTTGCAGGGTGAGGGGAAAGAGAAGCCCAAAGTTCTGCATCCAGAGCAAGATAAAGAGCTGCCTTCGGTACATCTGACCCATCATCAGTCCTCAAACAGGTTTCCCTTCCACAGTTCTCGCTGGTTAAAGAGCAGAATTATTCATGGTTTTATCATCATCATCATCACATTTAAAGGGAATGAAGAAAAAAATGATTTTGTCACATCTACTAATAAAGTCTTTTTAAAATGTTTTCTTTGAATTTCAGTGTATTAAAGGTATTTATCAGCTCTGGTGCAATCAGCTGATGAGGTTGGCAACAGCTTCACATGTTCCTACATTCTGGGATGCACCAAGGAAAGTTCAAGGTGCGTTGATGTCAATAACCTGCAATTGCTTGAAACGCAATCATTGCCCTGTAATAAACTTTTCATTCTCAAAGCTGCTTCTACCTGCAGACCTCAAATCATTTTATGGAAGTGTTGGACCCTGTCTTAGGGAAAGGCACCGAGGGAAGGCAGCACAGGGGATTTTAACAAGGTTTTTGAGAGGACACCTGGGAACAGAGAGCAGGTTGGGCCTGAGTTTAGCCCTGGAGTCCTGCTGAGCCTTCTGATCACAGGCACCAACATAAAGCTGTACCTTCTGCATGTTTTCAACCACACAGCAAATGGTTTAATCAGTTCCAAAAAAATATTTCGCAACAGAGTTTTGCCCTGGGGCTGATCTCTCACTGTTTTAGTCTCCTGACCTTCCCTTGCCTCACCTCTGATGTCACCCGTGTTTCCTCGGCTCCAAATCTACATTTCCACTGCACAAATTAACGCTCTGCCAAAGTTTCAGAGGCGGCAAAACTATCAGGATTTTTTTTTTTTTCATCGTAAGTGCTGCATCTGTCAGCCACATCCGTGACCACAAGGGGCACAAAATGCCTTGGACACACTCCTGGTGCCCTGGAAGCTGCAGTAACAGCCCCTTCAGGGAATGCCCATCACGGAGCTAACAGGCTGGAAAAGCTGTCACAGAGTCGCCTTTAGTGCACTTATGAGCTTAACTCAGAATTGAAGCAGATAAAAAAAGGTGAGCTTTAATGAAAGGTTAAACCTCGCAGGGAATTTTCTCCACGACCTTACGTGGAGGGAACCAAAAAAAAAAAAAAAAGAAAAAAAGAAAAAAAGCTCTAGGTGACATTTTGGAAAAGACAGAATCCTTAATTAACGACCAAATGCTATTGTCAGGAGAAAATAGTCAGAGTTCTGCAAAAATGAGATTCTGAAATTAATTCACAGACCTTGTGAATCCCACTGGTGACAAAGAGAATTGGCAAGACCTGTGGTTTGTCCCTGACCTGTGGAAAGCTTGATCTTTCCCAGCAGGAGCTGCAAAGTACCTTTGTAAAGCAGTAATTGTGGTGAAAAGCCCTGGCCAGCCCTGTGTAAGATACTCCTGGTTGCAGGAGCCCCGAGCTGTTCGTGCACAGCAGATATTCCAGTGGAATATTAACAGGGATTTACAGGAATTTTCTTGTCCTTTGCTGTGACAGGTGAGAAATGCAACAGCTCCCGTGCCTGAAGCTGAGAGAGCTTAACAAAATGTATTATAATGGGTACAAATTGAAAAAAGGGAAAATGAGGTTAGATATTATGGAAAAATTGTTCCCTGGGAGGGTGGGGAGGTCCTGGCACAGGTTGCCCAGAGAAGCTGTGGCTGCCCCATCCCTGGAAGTGTCCAAGGCCAGGCTGGATGGGATTTGGGGCAGCTGGGCTGGTGGAAAGGTGTCCCTGCCCACGGCAGAGGGTTTGGAATGAGATGAGCTTTAAGGTCCCTTCCAACCCCAGGACAAGGAAATTCAGCACCGGCCACGGTGCTGGAAAAGCACCAGGAATCAGGGGATGTGGAAGGGAGCAGGAGTGAAGGAACTGGAGAAATAACCACAGTTACTGTGCAAGAAGAGGAATGAAGGACATGGACCCCAAGACAGCAGATTTTCCTGGCTCCAGTGTCCATGGAGCATTTTGTGTTCCCTTGAAACGACACA